CAGGCGGCAGGTAAAGGGGTGAGGAGCGAAGTCTGCGGAAGAACTTCAGCTTGAACTCTGCGTGCGACCGGAAGTCACCAGAAGCTTGTGAACAGAGAAGAGATCTGACTTAGGCTTCAAAATGGCCAATCTACATCCTAGACCTCACTCTGGAGGAACATAGCAAGTCATTTAACTTATTTGTGACTCTGTGTCTTTAAGATTAATCTTGTCTCTCTCGGAGTTACTGTGAGGATAAAACGAGGGACGAGGATAGCGCCTTGTGAACCTGAAACCCCGGAACAGGTGTAACATGCTGTGCACGGGACCATCCATCAGGCTCGGAGGAAGTGAGGGATCATCTCCAAACACCAGCTGCATCACATGATGTGTCTCACTCACACATACCCACACCCCATGGAATCAGAAAGGGCATTTCAATCAATCCCCCTTTAGTAGGGAGAGGGGAAGAGGACAAAACAGAGAAATCAGAAGGCTCAACATAAAACTGAAATCTAAGTCGGAAATCAAAACACCCAATGAGCATTGTGGTGAGTTGATGTCCTGTCAGCGTAGCTGAACTGGAACACCCCTTCCATGGCTCGGAACGGGCTGGAGTAGGGTTGGCCACAAGAGAAGCTGTGAGGGATGTGGAAGGAGAGCCCGTCTCTGAGGCCAGCACAGGGAGCCAGGCCCTGCTGAGGCTCCAGCACGCGGCTCTGCTGGGGTGGGGCAGCCATGGGCTCCGCTCCCTGACGCTGCAGGCTCCACCCACTCCAGAAGGCGGGAGCAAGCAAGTAGCCGTAGCCCTGTGCACTCCCTCCTCCCTCCGCAACCATTCCTGATCACTGCCGAACGGTTTGGTTGGATGGTCAACACTGAAGAGGAACATGATTGATAAACAGGTAACGTGGTGGGAGTGGTGGTGCACACCTGTAATCCCAGCACTTTGAGGGGCTGAGGCAGGTCAGGAGTTCAAGACCAGCCTGGCCAAGATGTTAGAACCCCGTCTCTACCAAAAAAAAAAAAAAACAAAAATTAGCCAGGCGTGGTGGCCCACGCCTGTAATCCCTACTTGGGAGGCTGAGGCAGAGAATTGCTTGAACCTGGGAGGCAGAGGTTGCAGTGAGCTGAGATCGCACCACTGCACTCCATCCAGCCTGGGCAACAGAGTGAGACTCCATCTCAAAACAAAACAAAACAAAACAAAACAAAACACAACAAAAACAAAACAGGTAACAAACAACTGGTCTGCAGAAGATGCTGTCAACAGACTTTCACAGATGTGTACATGATGTAAACAGACCTCAGAGAGAGAGGATCCTGATACTTGAGTAAATACCATGACTCACTGTATCTACACCAGTCAGCCTCATTCCCCAGACTTCTTGTCCAAATGGGCTCATGTACATGTGGACCTGGTGGCAGGGATTGAGGTTACGCACGGAACTCGGTAAACACGGACCTCACTCGTGGAAATTCATCCATCTCCAGGTACTTCCGAGTACCATACCTGCAAACAGCAGAGGCCAACACCAACCTCCCGCCCCACACCCCGCCCGGACGCCATCCCTGGGATAGCAGCCGGCACCTAATGGCAGGTTGTTATCGCTGGTCCGCTTCCATCACAAAGAGATCACTAAAATAAACTTGCCTTCCGGATCCACAGGGCCTTAGAGAATCAATGCCCTGCTCTGCATCGTGGGATCCCCACGGCACTGCTTCCGACCAGGGAACGCACTCTACAGCCACTGAAGTACAGGACAATGGGCCTGAGCTCAGGAAATTCACTCATCTTGCCATAGTCCCCAGTAACCTGAAGTCACTCACCCAATAGGTCAAAATAATTTTTTCTGAATATTCAGTTATAGTGCCAGCCAACTGGTGACACCTTGTGGGCTTGGTGGCAACAGACTAGACTATCTTCTGGCAGTATACCTTCTGACTTGGTGGTGCTGTTTCTCCCACAGCCCAGATTCACAGCCCAAGGATCAAGCAGTGAAAGGAGAGGAGTCTCTTCTCACTATTACCCACAGTGACCCACTAACAACATGTTTCCTCTCCTTCCCTAAAATGCTGGACTGCACTGGTCTAAGGCAAAGATACGGCAACGGTTTCATTGAACCGGAAGCAGGAACTGCCACCTGGTCACACCAGGCTCTTCATGTCAGTAACAGGCAAAGAAGCAGCTCCTGCCGTGGCTGAGGTGACGGACCCCAACCATGAGGAAGCTGTTACCCCATAGTGGGAGTAAGGAAGAACGTGCAGGGGCACTGAGAGACCCCACCGAGTGCCCCTCTGTGGCCTCACACCCTCTGATGAAACGTAATGAAGTCATGACCATCCAAGACAGAAGTGCTACTGAAGGCCCAAACCTTTCAGGAAAGGAAGTCGGATCACCCACCAAGAAAAAAACCACAACCCACCATGGGGTTTGATGAGGGCAGTCGGAATATGAAAGGAGCAGCAGAAGGAAGTGATCCATTCTAGCCATGAACACTGACCAGGTGTGGAGACAACCTGTTACAGGCTTTCCTGCCTTGTTTTGATAAGAATGTAACTGTACATAGAAATGAATTCTTCTTCCCCGCTCTCCCAGGCCCCCACCGTCTCACATAAGAAGGGCTAATAGGAGTCAATCTTGTGTTAATATCTTGGAATTTAGGTTATGGGCTCTAGAAGAGAATGGATGTCACCCGAATGCTGGACAAAGGGGCTCCGTCTCCTCTGCGAGGAGCTGGGGAGTTTCCCGTCCCCGGGCGATGGTGGAATCACGTCTGGCTCAAGCACGCGCTGCTGTCTCCACTGGGAAACTCAGTGTGGCTAAAAGAGGTATGCATGGGGGCCAAGCTGACCAAAGAGAAACTGCGGTGGTTTTCTACTGTATCCGCCTAGCAAGGCCGGAACCACACTTCCCAAACTTCCCTTTCCTAGACGATTCTGGGCTAGGGTGGCCACGAGAGAAATCGGGAGTGATATGGAAGGCAGAGGGGAGCAGCGGCCCGGACTCCGCAGGTCGGCGAGGGACAGGGACTGCTGTGGCTGGCATGGGCTGCTGCTGGTCACCCATGCCATCAGGAGAGATGCGGGCTCCAGTCTGTCTGTCCCGCTTCCCAATTCCTCACCTAGCCCGACCGGACACAGCAGAAACTGCCTTCTTCCAAGGAAGAAGTTCTCACAATTGCACAGGCTCTCATTCCTTCAATGACCTCTTCGATCCATGACATTCAAAGTGGTTTGGCTTCTCTGATGAGACCATAACCCACACACATTCAACAAAACCATCTCAAAGTTCGCATCTAACTGAGGGTGACAGGATCCTGAACTGAGCTGACAAGTCAACCCACACTGTTGTTCTTCAAGGGAGGGGCGGCTGCCATCCTGGGCCGCCAGCTGAGAGTCCCGCGTTGGAGAAGCGGCCGGCCGTGCACCACCGCTGCTGTCTCCGCGCTCCCCAGGCGTCAGCTCCCCGCTCACCTTTCCTTCCAGGCTCAGCGGCTGAGGAGCAGCCCCAGCGAAGAGGCTGTGAGCCACCAGCTACATGCAGCTCCTCAGAAAGAAAATTACCGACAGCCCGCAAAATCAGTCACTCTGCTTCCAGCCTTGAAAGTACACTGCAGGGGGAAGGCCAGAGACAAACGTCCCAAATGCTAGAAAGTAACCTAACAAGAAAACGTACTTGTCTTTACTCACTGCCATTACAAAGACAGGAAACAATGAAGTTCTGAGGTACATCAAGACATTTAATTTGTTTTCTAATTAATCTACTATCTTCTTAAATAGTCGACAAATTATTCTCAAAACCTAAAAATCCATAACCACCTTGTCAGGACTATACCTTTTCTCATCCAGCGCACAACAACTATTCACTGGCATGCGGCCCAGCTGTGCCCGGCCTGCTCCAGAAGCTGCGGAGACAGGCGGGCGAGCGAGCAGCCTGTGCCCTCAGGGGCATCAGTGCAGCTGGCCTGGCTCTTCCGCCTCCCGTGCCCACACTCAGAGAAGCAAGCCAACGGGGAAGCTCCCGTTACGACCTCCTTCCAGCCATCAAGACAGAGCCTGCTTCGGTGGAACAGCTGCGTCCACAAACTGCCATGGAGACAAAGCCAAACTGCAAAGTCTCTGTGTGGCAGGGAACAGCCAAAGGACTCCGGGTAAAAGGACAGCGACTCCCTAAGGAGACAGATGAAGCCAAAGACCACGCCCAGAGCATCAACACACCAGCAGCCTTCCGAGTACAACCAGCAACCACTCTGTCACTTGCCACCCAGCTGTCTTTTATTTTTAAAAAGCCGACTGGATTCTGTAAGTTCACATCTATTCAACTATTCAACTATATTATGAGATGGTAGCTCCCTGCCAGACAGATACGGAAAGAGATACACAGCAACAATTAAATAAAAACAAATTCTCGAGATTCAACGCTGGCATGTCACGCTTTAGCCGAACTTGAAGCTGGGTACTAACGAACGGGTAGCTCTGCGCGCCACCGGCAGGCACCTAACTGGGTCCGGGAGGACCAGGGCTTAGGCAAAAACTGTCTGACGGAACCCGTCCCCCAAGACAAGAAAAAGCCGGACGTCTACGACCGAGACGCGTATTTGTGCTGTACCCAGTTGTTTCCAGCCCAACAGGCAGGCTGCTGGAAACTGTTCTAACCGTGGCAGGAGGGATGCAGCCCAAGAGCATCAAAGACTGAGGAAGTGGGGGCTGTAGCACGCACCCAAAAACATACCGCAAAGAGCCATTTCTCTTCTGTATGCTGACGCCTGTCGCCACAGCAGTAAGCTTTCCCTGCCTTTGAGACGCCAGGAGGACAGCAGGCGGAATAGACAGAGGCTTGCGTGAGGCACCCGGTGTCCTTCTCAAAACCTTTCCTCCACTGACAATCTCTTTGGGTTCCAAAATAACTTGGCCCATGTGTTTATTGCCCTGTTCTCCTTCCTGCCCAGAAAGCGGACAGGCTCTGCAACAGTGCCGCAGACCACAGGCGGCGTGGCTGGGCAGGGCTGGCCACTCACTTGACGTGATGTATTCTGGAGCTTTTCCGGGGCTCAGCGGCACGGCTTCCTCGTAATAACCTTCCGGGAGGGAGGACGTGGGCAATGGCGGAGGCCCACTGTCGGGAGGCTGGGAAGAAAGGAAAAGCGACACAGGAATCAGCATGACCATTAGAAGGAAATTCGGTATTTCCAGTTAGCAGATGTGGCCGGTCTTTTCCTCTTTCCTTTGTAAAGTCTCTCAAAAGAGAACCTCATCCTTCGAAGAGGCTCGGGAGGCCAGTCCTGATGCGTCTCTCCACTTTCCTGCGCACATCCCCGCCCCAGCCCGGCCGCATGCCGTCCAGGCCACACCGGATCTCCAGGTTCCGCGTGCGTGCAGCGTCTCACCGGAGCATCTGCAGCACGAACTCCCCTTCCCCTGCGTAGGACTGAGCCTGTTCAGACCCTGCCCCAGGGTCCGAGACAGTGTCTGCGCGTCCCTTTTTCCTCACACACTCCACACACGCCAGCCTTTGCTGGTCTCAGACTCTGCCTGAGATGCCAAGGCTCTGCCACAGGCGGTAGGCTCTGGGGACACAGATACTCAGGCGCACCCAGCACCTACCACAGAGTGAGCTGGGCAGCCACGCTGGCTGAGTGCATGAGTGAGGCTTGCCCACATTCTCACCATATCCCTGCTGTGTGCTAGGAAAGCTTTAAAAAAGCCAGTCACCTGGGAGCCACTCTCTAAAACAAACTAGAAATTATTCTCCAGAGATGGAATCCATTCCTTATTAAAACCAATCATGTCACAGTTTTTTAACACACTCAGAGAGTGATGCACTCTCGGGTTGTGAAGCCACAGCCTTAGAATATGGAAGAGCTGGGGGCTCACTCCACACCTTGGGACAACCTATGCCCCACCTGGCCTTCAGGACTCCGCTCAAGTCCCATCTTTTCTTAAATGTTCCTGACAGCTCTAATCCACCCCAGCCTCTCCCTCCTACAACCATCTACAGGACTTGCTGGTGTGTCTCTCCCTGGTCCTCCTGCCAACAGGGACAGCTGAATGGCAGAAAAGCCAGCATTTGCCCAGTGTCTGCTCTCTGGCCAGCACTATGCTAGGCACTTCTGCACTGGCTACAGGAACGTCAATCAATCCACACGGGAATCCTTTAGGGCACGTGTTCTATTACCTTATATTTTACAGATGCAGAAACGGAGGTTCAGAATCTAAACCTGCTCAAAATCAGACACTAAGTAACTGCCAGCTGGAGTTTTCAAACACCAGGTCTGTCTGTTAAAGACCTTTTCAATATTCATATTCTCTCTCCCCTTTTTCCTATGAATAGCATACAGCAATTTCCCACTACCTAGATTCTGTAAACAAACTGGGACGAGGTATGTCACCAGGAATGGAAGAAAGCAGAGGCCCCAAATTGAAATCTCCTCAGTTACAGTTCCAAGTAGAACAATGTTCTATTGAAATTATGGGGCTGTTGTGTTTTTTCTAATGTAAACTCTCCAGAAAATGTGACTCCATCACTTTCTATATAACTCATCTCCGAAGCCAAGAAGGCCTTTGTGAATGACTCATCACCCACTGCAGATTCAACCCGTACCTGCCTCTCACCAGATGAAGAGGAGAACTCACTCCGGATCATCCGCAGAATATTCCTTCATGGACTTCCAGACAGTTCCTCCCTCCCGCCCCCAGTCCTTGTTCCCGAGGCTAAATAACTCCGACTCCTTTGCCCTCCTAACAGAAGGCTGGCTTCCCAAACCGTCACCATTCTGTGGCGTTATGCTGGACCATCTCCAGGTCCTTCATATCTCCATACAGAGGCAGCTCTTCCAACAGAACCTGACACGTGGTGCCCAGCACCAGGCGAGGTCTGTACAGGAGGCCACATCCCAGTTAAAGTCTCTGCTGGTTGCTTTTGGAAAAGAGCTGCTTGAGTCACTGAATAAAACTGAGTATCTTTTATTCATGAAACACAGGGTGTTCCAACTTCCTTTTAGCATAGTCAAACAATCAAATTATTCATGTCCTGGAAAAGCATGACAAATAGCTGAATCAAACAAATGTTTGTGAAATAGTACAGGTCAGACTCCCTTCCTGGGTGCTGCAAGGAACTTACTCTCTGAATTGATGGGGTTCTGAGCAGACACTTTCAAACCCTATTACTGGTGGTCATGTACTTGGCATAACCTTTTCAGTACGCCTCTGAGACCCAATAATTCCACTTCTAAAAATATATACCAAAAAGGTCAATTGGTCACATGAATATATATATATGGATGTTCAATACAAGTTTGTTTAGTAAAATCCAAAACAATCTACATGTTCAAGAGAAGACCACTCAGATATATTGCTACATCCACAGACAGACAGACACTTAAAAGGCCAGTCCATGTGTACAGTCATTTACTTTAGAAACCTCTGCAAGATGCTGCTGAAGGAAAGAACACAGGTGTACTATGATCCCTTTACACAACGTGTGTGTTTATGCTTACATATACACAAAGGCAGAAGGTCATTCACCAAAAGTGTCAATAGTGGCTGCCTCTTTTTAGATTCAATCTGGAATGCTTCAATTTTCTGCATAGTATGTTATTTTAAATATCATTTAAAAAATAGAACTACCTTCATTTTGAAATAATACTCCTCAGAAAATAATACCGCTAGAGAATCACTCCACTCTCAAATACCACTTATCCTTGAAATCAGACACTTCAGGCTTGTTAAAGTCAAACAGGAGAAGAGCTGAACAGATGAGCAAACCGTCACTGACTACCACTCTTTCCAGAGGAGCAAGCCTTTCCGATCCTTTCCAATAGAGAAGAATTCACTGAAAGCACAATTCATGGAATTTGCAAAGGTACACAACAGGGGAGGCAGGCTTCCAACAGGGGCCCTGGGAAAGCAGAGGCCGGGCAGGAAATAAGAGAGTCCAGTGAAGGGTGAAGACTCAGGCGCACAGCCGCGTCACGTCCAGGGCCGGCTTGTTCCTGCACTTCTGCAACCTGCCAACACTCCACGTCCCCATTCCCTCACCTAAAACAAGGGCGTCAGGTCATGACAACCTCCAGTGCCCGCCCAGCTCTGAGAGTCCAATGCCAGCACTCGTAGAAAGTTCCAGGTCCACAGACAGCAAGGCCAACTTTACCTCTTCCAAACTTCCGTTGAGAGCCAACCCTGTGTCCTCCCACAGGATGAAGGACGTGCGAATCTCTGTCCTTCAAACGTGCCACTGAATGTCAGCACCACACACCACCACGGAGTCAGTCAACTCCCCCTCACTATCGGGAGAGATCCAGCCTGTGCACATACCCCTCATACGTCCTACATCTGTCCCCGCTGTTTCCTGTGCTGCCACTCACAAAACACAAGCTAAGAAAACAAGGGTCACTGGGCTGGGTGCAGTGGCTCCCGCCTGTAATCCCAGCACTTTGGGAGGCTGAGCTGGGCGGATCACGAAGTCAAGAACTAGAGACCAGCCTGGCCAACTTAATGAAGCCCCATCTCTACTAACAATACAAAAATTAGCCGAGCGTGGTGGTGGGTGCCTGTAATCCCAGCTACTCGGGAGGCTGAGCCAGGAGGCGGAGGTTGCAGTGAGCTGAGATGGCACCGTTGCACTCCAGCCTGGGCACAGAGCAAGACTCCATCTTGGGGAAAAAAAAGAAAAAGGGAAAACAAGGGTTCAAAGTCTAACCATCATGGCATCTTTAGACACTTAAAAAGAAATATGAGAAACTACCCTCCTCAGAGAACAACTCATCTTCACCCCTGCTGTGCCCTGGAAATGAGAAGGAACCTGCACTGTGCCAGTGACTAGGGAACTCTCAAGTTCACTAAAATATTTTCCCTCAAATTAATACTTGAGTAAAAGCTCCTGAACCTTTGAATTTAGAAAATCTTATCTATCTTCAGGTGTTGTAAATTTCTCCCATAAGGTCTCCATCTTGCACTAGAGAAAATCAGTACTTACACAGCAGCAGAGCCGTCTAACCTATGCTTGCAGGCTTACAGGACTGGCCATAATTTTAATTCCCATCTTTTGGAAAGGAAAGCCGCTCGGTATCTGTCATTGCTACTTTAATGAAAAGCGAATTCTTTAAACAAAAAGAGAATTCTCTTTCCAATAATAATAATAATAATAATAATAACGGCTGTAGTGGGAGGACCGCTTGAAGCGAGGAGTTCAAGACCAGCCTGGGCAACATGGCAAAATCCCATCTCCCCCTCCCCCCAAAAATACAAAAATTAGCCAGGTATGATGGTGCACACCTATAGTCCCAGCTACTAGGGAGGCTGAGGTGGGAGGACTGCTCGAGCCTGGGAGGCCAAGGCTGCAGTGAGTCATGATCGTGCCACTGCACTCCAGCCTGGGTGACAGAGTGAGATGCTGTCTCGAATCAATCAATAATTATGTTTGTAAAATGATATGGCATAAAAACAGTGATAATTATTATTGTTATTACTACAGGTCAACAATCTCTTCTCCAAAATGCCTGGGACCAGAAATGTTTCAGATTTTGATTTTTGTTTTGTTTTGTTCTGGATTTTGGGATATCTGCATTATGTACTTACTGCTTGAGCATCCCAAATCCCAAAATCCAAAATCCAGAATCCTCCAAAATCCAAAACTTCTTGAGCACTGACATGATGCTCAAAGGACATGCTCACTGGGCATTCTGGATTGCCAGAAGCAGGATGCCCAGCCTGTACTGGCCATCTGCCTACAATGTGGCAGCCACGGTCCTGGGATGCTTGATACATATTTTCTCTCGTTCAGAAAGTAACACTCCGATGTCAGCATCTCAGTTACGATTTCACAGATGAGGAAATCGAGACTCCGGAGATTAAAGACCCTGCCCGGGGCTGGACATGCTCATCCACAGAAGTCAGCCAGAGTGGGCGCGGCCTGCTGACCTGGAAGCTGTGGCACAGCAGTGTGGCATCTGTTGCTTCTGCAGCCTCAGCACCTACCCCACAGGGGCTTAGCAGACAAGCTGTAAAGAAGGAACCAACCAATCGACCGACCAAGACTGCACGGGTCCAAACCATTGGCCGCCACATCACACAGCACAAGCAGAGGCGCCATTTCTTAGAAAGACTCCCCTCCCCGCACCCAGCACAGA